TTGTAGTTTACCCCCTCCCCCTGACCTAAATCATGTAACCGCCCTTGTATAATAAGACCCGTAGCTAGAGGGGGGGGGGCACAGGAGCACGTGCCAACACTTTTACCCACGAAGCGGTGGGGGGCACTTTACTTTTCCTGTATTGAAACTTAGTATTGACTATTCGTGATTCAAAAATTTGCATTAGTACATTTATTCATAGTTTAACTCAAATTTCTACAACATATACTTCCATTTTTTTTTGTTTTATTAATGATGCACATAGCTTCTCAATAGCACTTCAGGTCAAACCAAATATTCGCCAGCGCCGTGCCCCCTACTTCAATATCTATGCTATTTTGAAATGTTTTACAAATTCCTAGCTACGGGCCTGCTTCATGTAAACAAACAGGTTGAGAAAAATAACCAGGCCCGTAAGTGGAGGGGGCAGGGAGGGGAGGGGGTTAACCGGCGCATACCCTCCTAAAACATTAAATTTAAAGTGAAATTATAAGTGCTTTGTGTAGGAAAATGGCATCTTAAAGGAAATAAAAATGCCTGATAAAAAATCATTTTTTAATTGATTGTTTATAACTTACCTCTGCACTTGATGTACGCATACGTTTGGCTATGACTTGAGAATTCAGAAAGATAAAAATATATATTTTTTTAAACTAACCATTGTAAAATACAATTTCTACAATAACTCTGTTGGTTTTATTATTCCTAACTCCTGTGATACTGATATTTGCCAATCTTTCTTTTCATTCTGCAGGGGGGGGGGTCCGCACCCGGACGCCCCCCTCTAGTTGCGCCTCTGTTGTTACATAATGTATATAATATACAGTATTTAAACTTAATTGTCAAAATGTTTTCAAAATATTAAACAATTCTGATCATAAGAGTTTAAATCAATGTTTAATTAATAACACTTCAACTACATGCATTGTTTACATAGCTTCAAAATTGAAAATATTAATATTGCAGAATTGTTAAAATATATCAAAACCAGTATTAACATCAAATCTTGAATAAAACAAAATAAACATTTAACAATAAACATGAATACATAAATTAATTGATATAAAACCGGAAAAAATGGTGAACTGGATTATTTCTAATTTGAAAATTAGCATAATTAGCAGAGTGGGTTGGGCTAGTTGGGCCCCATTGGTTGATTTTCACCCTTTACCCCTTCCCCTTGAGGTAAATCGAAATTGAAGTGTAATTGATCATAAGAAGTAAAATTAATATAAATCTGAATTTGTTTTAAAATAATTTGGTGTTGTTATATATTCAAGAATTATGGGCGAGGGATGTTCAATCCACTGAGAAGGAATTAACCTTCCCAGAATGGGTTGGGCCCCAGTGGTTGATTGTCACCCTTCCCCTTGTATTGTTGGGTTGTTCTTTTGTTGAGTTGCTTTTTTGTTGGGTTGTTCTTTTGTTTGGTTATTCTTTTGTTGAGTTGTTCTTTTGTTGAGTTGTTCTTTTGTTGGGTTGTTCTTTAGTTGAGTTGTTCTTTTGTTGGGTTGTTCTTTAGTTGAGTTGTTGTTTTGTTGGGTTGTTCTTTAGTTGAGTTGTTGTTTTGTTGGATTGTTCTTTTGTTGGGTTGTTCTTTTGATGGATTGTTCTTTAGTTGAGTTGTTCTTTTGTTGGGTTGTTCTTTTGAGCCCGTTTTATTATTAGATTCTGTAAAATTAAATGTTTTCCGTGTTTCCGGGATTCCTTTTCTCCTATTTACCTCTCCATTGGCACTGCCCACATGCAATTTTTCTACTTAAATTCTTATAATACGGTTTTTTTTAAATTTTAAATTTGTTATTACAAAATTTCGTTTACCAGGGGGGGTCTTCTAAAACAGTCCTAGGCAGGCGAGTCCGCGTGCTACGGAATGATTTTTTCTCTTTACATGCTACTTAAATATTTTACTCGTAATTTTAAATTGTTTCAACAGAAAAAAAAGTTGATTTGATGACTTAGTCTAGTGCAACCCAGGGGGAGGGGGGGGGGGTTCATTTAAGTAAAAAGAGGCGCGCAAACTGTGGTATTTTATTCGGGTGGGGGGATTTTTGTTTTGTGCAAAATTGCATATGAAATAAGGCCCATTGGAAAATTTGGTTTGAAAGAAATATCAGAATTTATAATCATGTCATGATTTGCCCTGTAAAGAAATCGATCGTCTGTGCCGCAAACTCAAATTTTCTAATCCCTATATCTTTGCAACGGCCTTTGATATTTCAAACTTAGTTTTTTTAAGCCCAGCATAATTCATAATTTTAATAATCCAAGGTCTACAAAATTGAATTCCAAAAACATATATGGGAATAGAAAATCAGAGAGATTTAAATTCGGTAATGGTGATGGACCAAACCTCTGTAGAGAAAAAAAGGAGATGTTAGTTCCACATTTATTGAAAATATATTTCGGTCTGGGTTGACCCTTGTCAGTTCTAACGATAATAACCATCAAAATAGATGAAAAAAAAATATAAAAATTGTTAAAAACTACAAGAAAATTAGCAACTCAATTCCTTTCCAATTATATAATCTTAAGGAAAACTAGAGCAGCCTTTGATAAAATCACCTTTTAACCTTTTTTTCACAAATAAAAAAGTTGAAAACGTCTAAATTATCTAAAAAGTTAAGTGATTTTCTAAAATGTTCCAATTAAGCTCTAAGCTGGTCCAGCTATAGATCTGTCCATGTATAATCTGGATTAATGGAGGTTATCATCTGTATCTTAAAAGGTTTCATGCTCGAACTTATTTAGGGGATACAAGGTTTCATATCAAACTGGTTTCAGATATAACATGTTAAAACAAGCTTTTAATCAGACAGAGTGGTCAAACAAAAAGGGATTTTTAAAAAAAGGGTGCAGGACATTTTATAATGTTTATCGAAAAGTTTTGAACATTATTTCTTCCTGAAATTTTTTTTTAATTGTTTATGAAATTTATTTGCAAATGGGAGAAAATTTAAATAAACATATGACGTATTTTTATTGGCATTGCAAGATATATATGCAGTTTAAAGCCGATTTTTCAGTTAAAAAACTCATATCACACGCTAAACTTAAGTACATTGCAACGAAAGATTTAAATCTTTAATGATTTCAATCAAATCTCCTCCCATTGAAGAGCTAATGAGAAGATAATAAATTAACAAGTAATACCAAAAAAATATGGTTAAAAAGATTTTGAAAAATTCAGAAGTTTAGGTCATCTGAAAGCAATTAAGTCAAATTTTGTTTCTAGCGGAAATTAGAAAATTGATATTTGGGACATTATTTTGGACAATTAATGTTTGGGACCAATTATACCAGAAAGAAAAATATTATACAAGACTCAAAATGTGAGAGAAGGTGTAAGTTTTGGACTCAGAATCAACACATTTTTATTAGGATTCTCTGAAAGGGCAGGAGGAGGGGGGGGGGGTCTACCATGCATGCATGGGTCTCTTGACATAAGACTACGCTGGGAATGTTTCCCAGGGGGAGATTCAAGGGGGGGGTGATGTAACAACACATATGTACATTTTCATATTTTGCACGCATGGATACAAACAAGGACACGGTAGCTTAAAAAAAAATCTTAAACCTATAAAAAATATTTTTTATAAAGTAGTTTGTTCAAAAAGGACCCCGGTCATATCGTAATAAATATGTCATTTGAATCGTAGTTTATGTGATAAATTCACCTATAGATTTGGCTTAATATACATTGAAGAAATTTAAAATTTTTGATTAAAAACACATTTTTAATTTCATAGTTATAAAATATGTCACCCATGTTCCCAGTAATATGATATTTACCCGCCATTTGTGAGATAGATAGGAATATAGTCAGCTGAGAACTAAATATTTTAGTATTTTCGTCTCCTGTAAATACGAATTCAAATATTAAATAACAATGTACTTAGGCATACACTGTACAGTGTTAGTCCCAAAAATTACTTTCTCTCTAATTTTATTCTATGTCCTGATGATTGATGCACAATTGTCATAACTTCTGGATCTCTGTGAATAAGCTTCATGTGCAAATTCGCTTTAGCTGTAAAGATAGAAAACTTTTCTTTGGGTTATATTTTTTAGAATTATGTCAATCCCATGCGTTTTAATAAAACATTGTGTTTCATGTCAAAATGAAGTAAATTGCACATCAAATCATATATGTTTTCAATTATAACTCCTTTTATTAAAGATCTAACAATATTTTGAATTTCTAAAATGTAACCGATTAAAGTTAATCTTATTCTGTTTCGTAAAAGCAACACTGGAGGATCTAGGAGGAAACAAAGTCATACCATCCCTCTTGTCTATACTATTCTTTACCATTAATGTGGAATAAATTTTACCTTCTCCCTCTGTCCACAGTTTGCAGGGGTTCAAATAGACCTGTGTCCGAGTATGGTTTATACGTAAGATGGATTTCTCACAAAAAAAAAAACTTCGACGATTTGTAGATTTTTTTACTGCTTTTATACCTTTATATCCAAATAAAAAACATATAAAACGTTTAAAAGATCTGTTAATCCTAAGTTTGAGCGCAAAGTCGACGTTCAAAATCATGAATTTGGGTGGATACGTTTTCAGAATCGGTTTTTTTTAATTATTAAATAACGACGACAAAAAATATAGTTAAAATTCTATAGTAAACTAATTAGATGCTTAGGAACATATTTCTCATAAGAAATTTGTCAATAAATCGAGGTTAGAATTAACTATTTCCTTTTCCGTCATTACATTGAATTTCTTATTTTCTATGAATTTGTTCGCAGATTTCTTCATACGTCGTCTTTTTAATAAAAATTCCAGAAAATCTGCAGAAAATCTTTGTGATAAAAGAGATTATAATATTTGAATAAGATTACTTATTTTCGATGATAAGATTAATTCTTATTTTCTCAACCTGTTCCTAAACAACTAATTCGTTTACTGTAAATTTTTGTTTACATATTTTGTCATCGTTATTTAATAATTTTTAAAAAAATTCTGAAAACGTATCCACCCAAAAGTACGACTTTAACCGCCGACTTTACGCTCAAACTGCAGGATTTACAGATCTTTAAAAAGTTTTATATGTCTCAAATGAATCCTAAACAATGTCCACATCACTGCATACTCAGTTTAACTACCTTTACATAGCCGGTCTGTCCCTTTAATCAAAGGTTCCAGGTCGTCATTAAAGTCTCAGCTTTTGTTTAATTTCATATATTTTTTCGTTCGCTGGAAACCCTATTTCCAGCGAACGAAAACTTTAGCGAAAATATTCGTTCGTATTTCGCAAACTTTTCACGAAATTTCGCATTTTTTCGCAAAAATTAATTAAGCAAAGAAAGGCGAAAGGATTAGAAATTTCACGAAAATTCTTTTATGGAAAATTGTTTTCCTTGCTCTGAAAATTTTTGCATTTTTCCCTCTGAAATTTTCGCATGTATTGTTTCGCGAAACGATCTACCCTTTTCGCTGGAAACTCTACTTTCAACACAGCATAGATTCGTCCCTCCCCTTCCCCCTTGCTCCCTAGAAGAAGATTATAATTTTACACTGCATGGGTGGATATAGAAAGTATGAATCTTTAAATCTGCAATTTAATGCATTGTTGCTAACTTGCTTTTCAACTCTTTGATTTAAGTTTCTAACTAACAAGCCAAAAGATAGATTATTGTAATTTTACAGAAGAGTTCATTCTCCACTCCCAACTGCTCTTTTAAATAAATAACCAATGTTTGACCTCATTTAGCTTTTTTTCTTTTTCGCTTTCATTTATGTTTTTGTTTTCATTCCGCTCTTCTTTTTGATCTTACCCCTGTTCCTCCTCCTCCTCCTCCTCCTCCTGCTACTCCTGCCCCTGCTCCTGATCCTGCTCCTGCCCCTCCTCCTGGTCCTGTTCCTGCCCCTGCCCCAACTTCTGTTCTTCCTTCTCATGCTCCTGCTTCTGCTCCTATTCCTCCACCTCCTACTGCTCCTCCTCCTCCTGCTCCTCCGCCTGCTCCATCTCCAATTATTCCTTCTCCTCCTCCTGCTCTTGCTCCTGCTCCTGCTCCTGCTCCTGCTCCTACTCCTCCTCCTCCGGGTCCTGTTCCTCACGCCCCTGCTCCTCCTGCTCCTCCTTCTCTTTCTCCTCCTGCCCCTCCCCCCCTGTACCCCGCTGAAAGACGCTCATTACTAATGCATGAGATGTGAATACAAATGGTTTGCCTGAAGCCCTGCCCCAGCACCCAACCTATACTCCTAAACCTAAACCTAAACCCGTGCAGACACTATTAGAACCATTTCTCTCCAACCATAGATACCGCAGAATTCAACATTATACATACATAATATACAAATAAGTGTAACCAATCAAAACAATTATTTCGAGTTGTCACGCATTAAATTGAATGAATTATACAGTGTGACCTGATAAATACAGAATTAACCAGGTGCATACTTAAAGGAACTGTATTTGTAATTTCAACTGATTTAAACCTGGTCCGATCTGATCAACGATATGAAAGATATTGTCGTTTTTCTAGCTTATAAAGTGTTGAATTCTGCAAATCATGTTTTTTGAATCTTCTGCATAAAATCCACAATTCACTTTTAGAGCAAAATCATGATCAGAAATAAAGATTATTTTTACTTTTTCGGTTAGATCAGGATTGAAAAGGTACTGTTATGAATTGTGCATGCCCCATTTTTAAAATTGAATGTGACTTGAAATTACTTCAACAGTCGATCCCTAGAAGTAAAAAAATTGGTTTATTCTATTCCTAATATAATAGTAGACATTTCTAAAATTTTAATAGATTACATAAATGTATTTACAAAGTCTTTTTATTAACTATTTATAATAACACTACATTATTAATTTTTGGACAGAAATTTTTTCTTTATCGAGAAGGTTCAAGCCTTTTAAAATTATATTTTGTCCCAAGCTTTAAGGATCTAAACAGGCTTGAACCTTCTCGATAAAGAGAAAATTTCAGAAAAACTTTAAGAATAAACGTGTTGTAAATATGGTTATTATCAAGTTAGATAAACAATTTAAAAGATCCTATCACATCGATATTTCTTCCACACATCTGAAGCAAAAAAGTGAGCAATTCCATATTTAAAATCAACTTCTAATAGTTTTAATACAGTGAGTACCAGACAACTCCGAAATATAAAAACGACTTTATAACTTTAAATTGTCCAGTGAGCATGAGACACAGCAATTGTGCAGTGTAAACAGACACATTTCACTTAATAAGTGGTTTAATAAGCGTCAAGTAAAACTATTTGCTTTGTAACAACATCAAATAAACTTAAGTATTGCTGTAAATTCAATCGCCGCGTCTAGAACAGGCTCTCTCTCTGTCTTGTATTTCAAAGTGGCATGCGCAAGTAACTTTCTTGGGCTCTGCCTTAATATTAGTTCCAATCTTGTATTGTTGACAATATATATGCTAGAGGACAATCTAAGATTAAATCAAGAACATGGTCCTTTATTGCATTGAAAACTAGGAACAAGCTAAATATATTATACAATCCATACAAGGGGGTTAACAAGAAAATAATATTTCTAATCGTTAATCACCCTAAACTAAGCTTTCGGTTTTAATGGAGAGTTTAGTAATAAGGCTTAAATAGTTTTGGAACAAGGAACTATCAAAAAGAAATAATAAAAAGTTTTCGTAATTTTAGACAATTGCTTATTATCAATGAACCTTGTTATATTCAATGTTATATGTCATGTACAAATTAAATATACAGTGAGATCCAAATGTGTCTGGAAAGGTTTAGTCCTTATAAGAAAGAGAGAGAGAGAGAGAGTAGATGAGTTTAAGATAAGACCTGGGTGTATACTATGTAGTGTATACTGAATATACGACCTATTGCTTTGGGCATTTTTAAACCAACCATTAATATCATTCCTCCTCTAGCATATACTATATACATATACAATATACATATATAATATACATATAATATACATACAATTATACAGAACAAAATAATACAATATACTAACATACAAAATAACTAGAAACTAACTATTAGAAAAGCAAAATTAGTCCATGGGTTCGTGAGTTAAGATCGGACATACGTCATACAACCAAACTGATAAACAGAGATTGCTTTTTTAGAAATATTGATGGTAAAGCATATGCGTACACTACATTTAAAGCCAATCCAGAGGCGGCTTATGGGATGGCAAGGGGGAAAATTGGGGGGCATGTCCTTCTCTGGAAATTTAAGGAGCGCAAGATAGAGCAGGTACATTATAGTCCTTTAGTTCAATTTTTATAAATAGATAATTAATTTTCCCTGTAAAAAAATCTAGGGGGGGATTTTTACCATGGGGAGGGGGGAATTCGGCACGCTTTACAATGTACTGTAGAATATTGAAATCTGATATTGTTGACGACTAGTAAACTATAAAATAGTTTCCAAAACAAATCTTGTTTTTACAGTTTCTTCAAAGAATAAATGCATATCGGAGAAACTATTAAAGAAAGACGACTGTAAGTAATGATTGTAAATAGTGTAGTGCAATTGTGCAGTGTTAAAAGTCCCGTTTCGCTTAAAAGGTTGATTTTCAAACTACATGCATGTAAAAAATTTGTGTAAAACAGAATTATAAGCACATATGAAGGCCGAATTCATAAATGTAATCTTCTCATGGGTCCCACTATACACAAAGAATTTGAGAACAAGTGAGTCCGGAGTTATAATATGAATGAATAAGAGCTGATTCAACTAATTCTTATAATTCATAAATTACAGACTCTTTCAGTCTTCACTGCAAAACTGAAATTGTTGCACACAACAAAATTTGTATGTAAATTAGGATCTTGAAGAAATTTTTTCGTACAAAAAAGTCAAAAGGCTCTAAACATTTAAAAAATTACATAATAAGCACATAAAAAATATTTCTATTTTCATACACAAGTAAAAGTATTTATCCACGCAAAATCGCGAAACTAAAAGCGAATGGAACTCGAACTCACAAAATGCTAAAAAGACTTCAGACAATTTCTTAAAGTTATTTTATAGGAGAAAGGTTTAGATCATTTTATTCTTTTTTATTCTTTTTTTTCTAACTCTATACATACCACCCCCTCTACTGAACTTCTGACCTACCGCAATATCCGACGTACAACAGCTGTTTATATGTTAAGTATTATTTGAGGGTTAGGTTAAAACAATTTCTGGGTCGAGCGCTGGGTCTAGAAAAGGCCAGGGGCCGGGAGAGCTGCGACAACTTGCGGCTGTAAAGCGATTTGTGCGAGTGTCAGAAGTGTAGTATAGACTTGAAAATAAACTGGTAGAAAAAGCCAAGATTGAGTGGAATAATAATAACTATTTTTACATTTTAGTAATTTTAGTATAGTTTCTAAAATCTTAATTTCAGTTCTTGTTTACCTTTTACATTCCTCATTCCTCTATTTGGTTCTTTTTACAATTAAAGATATCAGGTAAACCTGTAGAAAAGAAACTCTTCTTTTTACATGCAAGGGGTTCCGGTAGAACTGTAGAAACTCTTCTTTTTACATGCAAGGGGTTCCGGTAGAACTGTAGAAACTCTTCTTTTTACATGCAAGGGGTTCCGGTAGAACTGTAGAAACTCTTCTTTTTACATGCAAGGGGTTCCGGTAGAACTGTAGAAACTCTTCTTTTTACATGCAAGGGGTTCCGGTAGAACTGTAGAAACTCTTCTTTTTACATGCAGGGGGTTCCGGCAGAACTGTAGAAACTCTTCTTTTTACATGCAAGGGGTTCCGGCAGAACTGTAGAAACTTTTCTTTTTACATGCAAGGGGTTCCGGTAGAACTGTAGAAACTCTTCAAAACCGATGTCGGTTTCATTTAAGTCGTTGGGAACCCTTTAGGAAGAATTTTCTTACAAAGTTATCTTAATATACTCACAACAGGATAAAACTGTAAAGACGACCTAAATCTCTTAAAATAGAACGAATTCATGGTTGAATTGAATCTTCTGCCTTAGACGTCGTCGTTTGATGTCTTAATGGCATATTTAATGATTTGACAAAAAAAGAATCAACAGCTGCAGGGAGTCAAAATTTTAAGGAAACAAACAGTATAAATTCCGTACAGTCGTCTCTAAAGTCTTATCCTTTGTGGTTAACCCTGTATATCTATTTAAAGATTTCCAGTTCATCGCGAAATTAAACTTAAATCCTTCAATTCAAAAGTTTGAGTATATAGAGTTTAGTCGATGACGACTTTAAGCACTATCTTACCCAAACTATTGTGTTATAATCCCGATATCCACTGTGGGTATTTTAATTCGATGATCAAAGCTTATTTTTTTCATTTCAGTTATTCCTCCAGAGACCGAATTTAATGAATTGAAGCTACGTCGCTGATTTACCTACTTCATCCATGCCGGTTCAAATTTGAATCAACGATTCAAAGTTAAAAATTAAGTATAGATTTGAATCGATCGATGATTTATATTTTAATCGACAGAAGGCAGTTCAAAATTATTTAAGTCGGTCCCGGGTTCGATTACCATGCGAGTTATCGAAAAAAGATTTATTTAATCTGCAGATTAACAAAAGAAAATGTACGGATTTTTGTACGGATTGGTTCAAAAAAGTTTTGGCCACCCTGAAATTTCCATCTTTTCTCTGTATATTTTTATATTTTTCTCTGTATATTTTTATATTTTTCAATTATTAAAATGTTTTTTTTTTATATTTTCACTAAGTATTAAATTTCAATTATGTTACACATTCAGGGAACTGCAGTACATTCATTTAAGTATTTTCATATTAAGTTCAAATTAAAATGAGAATCATTTTAATTTGAACTCCAATTTATGACAAATTGAAAGTTTCAATGCAAAAATGATTAGACAATAAAAAACAAGTTTATGACAGCAAAACATTGGGTCTGGTAGGTGAAAAATTTTATAACGTGGAGCCCCTCAATGCATCAAGGTTTGCAAAATTTGCAGACTTGAAATAAGTGACTAGCATGACTGCAGTGAGGGGGGGGGGGGCATGCACCCTAATATGCAAGGATTAAAATATACATTATATACAATGAAAAATTTACATACATATCACAGTTTAGAACAGATTTATTTTCGCGCCGAGAAACTAATAGTTTTCGTGCAAACTGTTCGCATTTAAATTGGCACAGTAATTCACATTGAGCACGGCACAGGGTGTGCAAATTTACATAATTTAATAGATTTGTATCAAAAAGAGATCCAAACAAATATGGCACTGAAATTAAAAATCATTATAAATCAATTAAAGAATCAAGATCGAAGATGTCGCACAAATGTTCCAACATAAAAATCATAAAACAAAATTGAAATAAAAAGTAAATCGTTTTGAGTACACTGAAAGTAGATCAGATATGGAAGACATTTCACAGGTGCAAATTCACTGGGTTCTGATCGAAAAAAGGCGTTGTACTGTACTGTACTGCACTGTACTGTACTGTACTGTACAGTACTGTACTGTACTGTACTGTACTGTACTGTACTGTACTGTACTGTACTGTACTGTACTGTACTGTACTGTACTGTACTGTACTGTACTGTACTGTACTGTACTGTACTGTACTGTACTGTCCTGTACTGTACTGTACTGTACTGTACTGTACTGTACTGTACTGTACTGTACTCTTTTACAGGACTAGTACTTGTACTTCATTAGAATCCTGTACATCTACCCTAGTGTACTAGAAACCTGTACAGCTAGTGTGCAGCGTACAGCAAAAAAAATAACTGAAGGACCTGAACAACTGGTTTCAAGTACTTCTTGGAGGAGGGCAAGCACCAAGCAAAGGACGCTGGTTCTCTATTCGTAAGACAAGCATCAAAATGATTGTCCTCTATCTGAAGGAAGAACAAAGAATAGGACAACAGGACGCATGTCTTTTAAGGGATAGCAGAACACCAGGACGTACTTGGGAAGAGTTTACAGTGAATACTAAGAAATCTGGTTGGATCCATCATTTCCTGAAAACCTTGAACCTCGACGATATTCCGCTCCTCCTTCCCATCCTCATCCCCGTAGCTGGAGTAGGAGAAACTTATCTGCTTCTCCAGCTCCCTCACAAGGCGGAGAGGTTCAAGGTGAGAATGAAACTCGTCCAATTTCGTCAACGGGACCTCGGCTAGCATCTCCACGATGTATCCCATCGTAACATCGTCCGGGAGGCGCATTTTCTCCGCCGTATTGATGAACTGCTCTGCCCCAGCCAAATTAACCATCCGCTCCGCCAGAGGTCGGCTCAAGCAAAATCCGGCTCCGCCTGTTCCAAACCAGAAGCGAATCTTTTTCTGAAAAAATTTAAAAATTAGAACTGATTTTTAACCGCAAAATGTTTAAGAAGTCGGATAAAAACCGCAATATCTAGTTGTTTGATTGAAGGGCTGAAAGATTAGTGAACTGAGAAGAAGGATGTTTACTCAAGATATCGAAGAAAGGCTCCAGCTTCAAGGTACTCCCAACGTCATTTCAAGTAACCCTCCAAGAGTAAAGGGAACCTTTGTGAATCTAAAAAGTGGAGGCTCCCAAGAAATAATGCCGAAAGTCCCCTTGACCTGGAACGATTTCAAATATTTGACAAACTTTTAATTTTGTCTTATTACTTTCTAGGAAAGGAAAAATGGAGGGAAAACATTGTTGAGGGGGGAGGTTATTCATTAAAGGGGAGGTGGGGCCCCTGAGTTTATCAAACACTTGTCAAGTGTAAAGGAAAAATGAAAGGGGGTATAGGTTGAAAGCTAATCACTTTAGCTCTTGATCGCGACCCATGAAAGTTATATCTGATGTTCCTGTCTCGAGAAATTGATATACAACTTTGTCAAATTTATACGAAAATTAATATATATACAATTTTGTATAAAAGTAGTGGGTTTAGATAGATCAAATTCAGCAAGTAAGCAAACAATCTGAAAACGATGATATCCCAGAGAAAGCTAATTGTAACTTACGTTTACTCCAATTCTAATTTTATATTTGTTATTTCTATTTTTTATAGATTTAATTCAGAATATTATTTATAAGTCCGTATTACTTGACCAGAAATTCCACCAATGGCAGTGCAGTAAAGTGGTCATGTGATACAGGCGGAGACACGTGACCAGTATACTGCTCTGCCATTGGTGATAGTTCTGGTCACGTGATTTAAGTTTCAGATTTTCAAAATTTTACATATATGAATTTTCGTATAATTTTAACACAGTTTTATATCAATTTCTCGAGACAGCTGAACATAAGATAAAACTTTCATGGACTGCGATCAAGAGCTACAGTTATTAGCTTTCAGCCTATACCCCCTTACATTTTTCCTTTACAGTCCCTTTAAAATGTTTATTTCTACAGATGTGCGTGATCGATGATCGAAGAACTTGTGGAAAAATGTTAAAAAGAAAACTAAAAATTTGTCCTCGAACATTTCGATTGAAATGTTGAAAGGTTTTGACAGTGGTTATCGAGATGTAACATTGTAGATTAAAGCTATTTTACTAAATGTGTTGACCTGTTTTAACCCATTATTAGTAAAAGTCTTTGGATTTAACAAATGGCATGTTGATCCGGATTCGTTGGATCCGCAACATTCTGGCTCTTTGGATCCGGATCCGCAAACATATACATATACATCTTTTTTTTGTTAAACAAAATGAAATGGATCTTAAGCACTGGTACTAGGGATATTGGATATCCCTGTATCTGTATCATACCTGGTCCACGGGGTTCTCCTTGTCCAGTATCTCCAGGGGGCGCTGGATACTTGGCTTCCCTAGATACCAGGGCAGATGTGGCGGAAACTCAGCCAACTTCCGCCGCAAACCGGGAATATTCACATACTGGTCGTCATCAAAATGACAAAACCATCTAAAGAAAAAATAATATTTAAAAAACTAAAAAAATATGAGAAAACATGAATTCAATACGTGGATAAGTGAAGAAAAGAAAAAAGATTAAAAACAATTGTGAAAAAGCCGAGGGTGTTGGAAGCATCGTGATTGGACAAATTTGTAAGTGTGTGTTTTATAATATTTGAAAAGTCATTCTTTGGAGTGAAAAATATAGATTTTTGGAAACCTTTGTATTAATAGAAAATTAAATTTACTTTGATAGAAGGATCGAAGTTAATACATAGATAAGTGGTTTATATTATGACTTAGCGCCCTTAAGAAAATTTCATTTTACACATAAAGTTTAAATATTTTACACATCAAGTTAAAATATTTTACACATCAAGTTAAAATATTTTACACATCAAGTTTAAATATTTTACACATCAAGTTTAAATATTTTACACATCAAGTTTAAATATTTTACACATCAAGTTTAAATATTTTACAATTTTTTGATCAGTATTTACCGGTCAATAATTCTACCAACAGCGCGCACGGGATGTTAAGTAACTTTCATCTCAAAAAATTGTAGATAACTTTGTTTTCGTGAAATTTAAAATTTTACTTAACCATTGACCAACATTGCCCACAAAACTTTCTTTGTTCCGCTCTGGATGTTTTGTAGAAAAAAATAGGTATTGGGAACCCATGGCAAAGTAAAATTCCCTTAACTTCCCTGTAAAGTAGTTACAAAAATATAACATACTTTATGAATTTCAACTCCCCCCCCCTTTCTTTACTTCCCTTTTTTTACTTTCTTCTATAGTTTATTGTTTAATCACCCCCTGGTCTAACAAACGACAAATCTTGTATTTTTCTCTAAATATGAATGAACAATGGTTTGAGCCGAATCATGACAAAATAAGAGAATGACCAGGCAACCTTCTAAGGATGCTCACAATAGATTTCCGTTTCAAGATTACTTCACACTACGACCAATGTAGGGTTATCCTTGCCCTAGCCATGCTAAGTGATGTAAGGTGGGGGAGATAGCATTTCCGTACATTTTACTGTGACGTTAAAGGTAAATATTAACAACAGTTGGTAAACAAGTCCGGCCTTCCTATCCTGCCCAGTGCACAGGAAAGTTCTGACCTTTGTTTACAATCTTTGTTATGGTTTTGATAAATCTAGTTCCTAGAAGTCCGGATGCGTCACAATAAAATGTAAACATTTCAGACAAACTATATCTCACTCACCTTACATCTATTACACCTTGGGTTTGGTTTGATTGTCTGACATTGTTTGCTGTGTGTTTGTCGAGCACTATAAACCCATTTGGAGAGTTTGTTTCACTCCTAATGTCACTTCACAAGCAAACATTAGGTAGCTTTGACATATTTCAAGCCAAAACTGTTTTGGGGTACAGGTGAAAACAGGCAATAAGCACTTAATAAGATAAATTAAGCCTACATCGCCTAAAACTGGAAAATGGTGAAAAATAAAAAAATCATAAATTGAAACATTTAACATTTGAACCTTAAAAACAATAAAATAAGCCATAAAATTGAGCCTACAGCTAGAAATAAGCCTTAACACTAGGACTGAACTTATAAATAAGCCTAATCATTAAACTACGCCAAGAAATAAGCCACGAAAGCTAACTTAAAAATGTTTAAGCCTAGAAAACTTAGCTTAAACCTTGAAAATATGCGGGAATCAATTGTAAAATTTTAGAGATTTAAATTTTCATTACAAATTTTCCAGCTCTGGAAAACCAGAATATAATCCCAAAATGTTGAAGAAAAGTATAAAATTGAACGGGATTTGGCGCTAATCCAATTAAAAATGGGTGAGCAAGAACCTGGGTTTGAATGCATAAATAAATCATGTATCCGGTGTCAGTATAAAATCTTTTACACCCCTGGTAACTGGGTTCAAATGAGGAACAAAATAACGGCTACAAAGACCGAACTTGAGCCAAAAATTTCAATAAATTTTTATTAGTATTAATACAGTAAGTTTAAAATTGTTTCTCAAATATTAAAAAAATAATTAGGAAGTAGAAAGGAGAAGGGGGGGGGGCGCGGTCTAACGGAAGGGTTTAAGGGTCATTTAGGTCAAAATACGATTTGAATTTCAGTATTTAACCGTAGTACAAAATCAGAACACTGGACTTAAATCAGATCCACAAGTTATTATTTTAGCCTTTTTTTTTTTGACGCCATGAGAAGTTGAGAATATTAAGAAACAAAAAAATTGAAACAAGTGTCAAAAAGTGTCGCGGTGTCAAAATCTAACTAAAATAGTACTCAACTGTGCGTTTTAATTAGTTATAAAAAAAAAATTTTAACTACTTAAAAAAAGTACAGGATGGCTCCAGAGGTGAAACTGAGGGGAAGGGGAGGGGACTATGGATTTTTATGAATAACATTTAACTTTTTAAAATCATCTTCCCCAATTTTTGCATTGAAAAAGTCCGTTTCCGGGAGAGGAAGGTATTAAGACGTAGAAGGTACCTTGAGTTAGTATTGAGGAAATAGTTGAACTCCGCCTGCATCTTACAGCTGAGCGCCTGCCTACTGTGGTCAGATGAGCAGGAGGTTGGGATGAGCTGGGCTCCAACTATACTCCTGATACTGGGATCCTCAGCATCTAAACCAGGGATACATTCAGATACAGATATAACCAGGATACACTCAGATACAGATATAACCAGGATACACTCAGATACAGATATAACCAGGATACAATCAGATACAGATATAACCAGGATACACTCAGATACAGATATAACCAGGATACACTCAGATACAGATATAACCAGGATACACTCAGGTACAGATATAACCAGGATACACTCAGATACAGATATTGCCAAGATAAAGGGGAATTTTAGGTGTCTTTGATTTTCTATTTGTTCTAAATGTTGCTATAATTTAGCACTTCGAGATAAATTTGATTTTTCAAGGTAAAAAAAATTTGGATCCACGGGCTCGGATCCGCCCAAAATATGCGAATCTACGGATCCGGATCCAAGGTGCAAAATATCAACGAAAACCTGTTTTTGCTCTCATAACAAAAATCCCAATCGTGGAAAAGATGAGCGATTATTAGAAACTTATCTAGCTCGGAAAGTTTTAGCATTATGTCAGTAAATCTTTTAGAAGTGTACATTGCCTAGCTAGATCCGGATCTACTTCTTTTTAATGGTGGATCCAGAATCCGGATCTACTTCTTTTTAATGGTGGATCCAGAATCCGGATCCGGATCAAAATTAAATTTTACCTGTGAAGAAGAAAATATTGGTAGGATCTAGAGTAAACCAGGTTTTTAATATCACAGCCAGTCGTTCCTCGTGGAACTAAAATAAAATACTAAAAATATATTTTTTTAACAAGAAAATTTTAATACTATAGCTTTATCAGATGTCTTTATTTCCCTTATTATGCATAACCCCAAGTCATAAATTCAGCGAAAAAAAAAGATGTTAGAAAATGTTTTTAAAAAAACATTAACCCCTGTGTAAATTAATTTTTAAATTTCCAAAGGATTTAAAAAAAAAAACATTTTAACTTTTACTGTATTTCGGTGCAGATTTACATACAAAGGATGAGACTCGAAGAGGGGTAAATAAATCAGTATTTACCACAACCATGAATATATAATAAAAATATGATTAAAATGACTAATCTTCTCTGTATCATAAACCCCATCATTTTAAAAACCTAAGTAAAGTTAGTATATAGTTGGATTAAACTACGATAAGAATATATCTACAGTTTACACATAAAAAATCTACTAATAACAAATTTTCCTAGATAAAAGGGAGGCCAGGGGCGATAGTGGGGAGATACCTTTTTTAAAGTATTTTTATTCATTTTCAACATACCTTAGCACTAGTTTTAACAGAAATGAATACATCATATATCCCATAACTTTTCAACATACCTTAGCACTAGTTTTAACAGAAATGAATACATCATATATCCCATCACTTTTCTTCACACTTCGTAATAAAACTGATTCACTTAGAGATAGCACTTTTCGATGTTGTATACTCCGTTGTGTGCTTGGCGCGCCCTCGTGCTTTATCAACTCCACCATGCACACTAGAACCACGCATGCCATCAGGGTTCCCAGCGCGTAATGAACTGTTTTTAGCACTGTGCTCCGATTTCTAAATGTGAGGAGGAGTAGGCTCATTTCAGATGAAGAACCACCGTCCGATTTAGTCTCCATGATCCAGGGTTTCCGTAGGGTTTATGTCTAGAAGGAGACCCTGGAGGGACCAGAGAGGGAGGGGTTGGATACCACACTCATCCTTCATCCTTCATCCTCATTCTTCTCATCCCTGAAATAGATTTAAGTAAAGTATACGTTCTTATAATATAGAGGTCTTAAAGTATTTCAGAAGTACCCTAAATAAACAAAATGTAGTTTTNCCTAGTATATGATTTTTGGACCCCCTCCCTGGTATCAATTTTGTACTAGACCTAGATTTCAACTATTTTCAACAAAAAAATATTTATTTTGTATAATTGCAAAGTTAGGTTGGATTTCTAGGACGGACCCAAATTGCCAAATGTATTTGTTTTAACAATTTTCATTGATTAAACTCCGAAAAATGCCTCATTATATGAAGCAAATTTATATTTATATATTTTCAGTTTCCTTACCTATTTGTTTCTCATAATTAACGATATCCAAGTTTTGCAAATATGAATTTAAGATTAACTTAACCATTCACAAAAGAGTATCAGTGTATCTCCCTCAATTGATTCCAATAAACTGACTTATTTTCGCTTGTGTTACTGTTGTGTCGTAACTCGTAAGTTTAGGCTGTGAGCGCATATCTTAGAACAGGTTGATCGGTCGTGTCAGTGCATCTTTTGACCCCATCCGGCCAGAACACCGACCCGACCCGTCCTGCCCATAAAGTCAAGCGTTAACCCAAAATCTCCGTACCGACCCCGCAACAGGTGGACCCGGTCCGGCCAAACCACTAAAACCCCCAAAAATAAAAACTGGTTGGGTCGGTCCGGCTGAGCTAGTACAGTGCACTAGATTAAAAAAGCAGGTGAGTTAATAATGCGCCCATTAAATTTACATAAGATTAGAAACTGAGAAATTCTTGTGGATCATTTTATTCGTGTACATAATAAAAGAATGGAAACAAGAGAGTATGATGTTATAAGAGGTGGGGGGGGGGGCTCCCTAG